CACGTCCTCAAACTCCTTTCTGATGGTTCCCTTCTCTTTCTTGCCTTACTGAGAGCTGGCTGTCTCCTGAGGAAGCTGCTCTTCCTCCCTCTGCAGCAGAGGCAGCTTCCCTTGTTCACCCCACCCTCTCAAAGCCTCTTGTTCTCTAGGGGCCACCGCAAACCACTTTTCCAGCTTCTTTCCTGCACTGCTTGCCTCTCCTCCATGTACTGATGACAACAGCACCTGCTTCCCTGCCCTCGTTCCCTCCCCAAATTCTGCAAACCCTCCCGTAACTTCAGCTCCAGGGAGCAGCCAGCGAACACTTGACTTCACGCACATCTCTGGTCTTTTTCCTCCCCACCTCAGCCACCGGCTCCCACCCTGAGTCTTAACCAGTAAATGAAACACCTATGAAATCTTGCTTTTTATATCTCACTTGCAATGAGTACCTCATACCAACAAGTGTTAAGTTAATTGAGACTTCTAATCTTTGGGGCTGTTCATTAACCTTGCCACTGTCACGCCATGCTCTCTGGGCCAGCTGGGATACTCCAAAGTATTCACAGACTCCCTCATGGCAAATATACTGAATCCCTCACCTTTCTCCCATGTTCATCTGTGGAAAGTCCTGATGATGAGGAAACCTGATGTTCCACCTTCTCCACATCTGGTATTCATAGTAAGGTGATGGATCAAAGTTGGAGCTTTACAAAAAACTATTTGGAGTCATTATGAAATGGTGCAACTGCTACAAAAGGCTACGGAGGTTTCTCAAAATATTTAAGAAAGGAATGTCATGATTTGCCAATCCCACTCCTGAGAGTGGGATTGGAACCAAAGTTCTTATCAATCAGACTTGTGATATCAGAGATGATATTATCTTGGACAAAGTTAATTTTAAAGTGAGTTCATTTGTGGTTGAAAAACTTAAAACAACAGTAGCAAATTAATTTGGAGAATTACAAATGATCAGATGATGATGATGTTTAAATTTATGTTAGCTGAAGGAGCAAAGAGTGCATCCACCATGTCTATTATGTAGGTACTTGAAGACTTTAATAAAAACAATCCAGAGAGTACTACATAGAGATATGCTCATATTTTAAGAACTAGATACTGTCTTGTCAGAAGAACACATCATATTTGAGTAGAGTTTCAATATCCAAAATACTTGCCACTAGCAAGCATTTTAGCACTTGATACGTGGCATGTGCTTAAAAAATTGCCTTTAAGCAACTGGAACCAAGTTCTCAAGTACTTCCATACCCCTTCGTGGAATGATTAGCCCCAGTGGTCAAGAAGGGCGTGCAATCTCTGTCTGTGAATGGATACATAAAAATGCAGCACATATATATGATAGAATATTATTCAGCCTTCAAAGAGAAGGAAATTGTATTACACAGTACAGTGTGCCTAAGCCTTGATAGCAGCATGTTAAGTGAAAAAAGCCAATCACAAAAAGACAAATATTGTATAAATTCTATTTATGAGGGCTCTAAAATAGTCAACTTCAGTCCCTAATAATACCATTCTACTTTTTCTATGAAGCTGATTAAATTTTATGCTATGCTTTTTTTTACAAAAAAGAAAAATACAAAAGAAACTATTGACATATGTTCTGTGGTGGTACAGAGCCACAATCTGCCCTCCTCTGTGTATCCAACATCCTACTCCACCCATAGGGAAGATACACAGCCATTAGGTGGCAGGGCCAGGGAAGGCTTTTATTCTCTTTGGATCGGGAATTTCAAACTCAAGATTTATCCTGAGGTTCTGGATCCAGTTCATAAAAATAAGAGAACTTAACTTGGAGCCAGCTGGATACTTTCCAGTAGTAATATTGTTCTTAACAGCTAGCTGAAAACCAATGGTTTTTCTACCTATGGCCCTCATAATTCATTTATGCTCATTAATATGCAAACATTAGCTTCTCAGCTGGCAGTAATTTCATGAATTTTTAACTGGAGATTAGAACTTTAAAGCCAACAGTAGAGAGGACTGTATTGTTTTAATCCCTAGATTAGGAATCTCCAAGTGAGTTCATCAGCATCATCACATAAACAACAAAAGAGCAATGATCATAGTATCACCTCTGCAGGGTTGTGCCTTTGGACGATAATAAACAGGTTTTGTTAATGGTGCCTTTTGGGGGATCTTTAAAATAGTGAAACCACAAGTATTTCTTGTCATGAATCTTCATCTGAGAAAACCTCAGGCCACTTGGTGAAAGTTTGCAGAGATCTCAACAGTACAGAAAAGCCACACTTGTGACTTTGTGACTAATAAGTATGAAAATCATTTCAGCAGAAAGGAAATCAAGAAATCAAATTAGAACAGAGGAATTGGAAAACTGAAATTAATTCCTTCTAAAATTGTAAAGCAGATGCTGTATTATTAACTCTAAAATAAGACAGGGGATATAACTTTAGCCTTATAATTCTTTACATTTTATTTCTCCTATACATAGAAGAAATTCATATAGAAATATAGAAACATACAGAAATACAATGCAAAGTACATATATCATTTTACATTTCTAGAAGCCTTGTTTAAAAAGTAAATAGAATCAAGAAAAAATAGTTTGTTCCAATATATCCAAAATATTCTGTCATTAACATGTAATAAATATTTTTTAAATTAGTAAATTTTTTACATTCTTTTCTTAGTCTTTGGAATCTGGTGTATATCTTATACTTATAGCATGGTTCATTTCAGACATGCCACATATCAGGTGCTAAGATGCTTGCTAGTGGCAAGTATTTTGGATATTGAAACTCTACTCAAATATAATGTGTTCTTCTGACAAGACAGTATCTAGTTCTTAAAATATGAGCATATCTCTATGTAGTACTCTCTAGATTGTTTTTATTAAAGTCTTCAAGTACCTACATAATAGACATGGTGGATGCATTCTTCGCTCCTTCAGCTAAAAGTGTTAACATAAGTTTAAACATCATCATCATCATCATCTGATCATTTGTAATTCTCCAAATTAATTTGCTACTGTTGTTTTAAGTTTTTCAACCACAAATGAACTCACTTTAAAATTAACTTTGTCCAAGATAATATCATCTCTGATATCACAAGTCTGATTGATAAGTGTATATTTCTTAAGAGACCTAACACACCCTAAATAAAATACTAACGAGTAAAAGAAGTTTTTGTGTGCTATCTAAAGCCAATAATGAAGTAAATAAAAATGTTCTGTCAACAGTAAATCCATTATGGTATCATCTTTTAGAAGTTTCCAGGGGCTGGGGATTTAGCTCAGCAGCAAAGCGCCTGCCTGGCAAGCTCAAGGTTGTGAGTTCGATTCCTGGTACCAGAAGAAAACAAAAAAAACAACAACAACAACAAAAGAAGTTTCCATTGTGCACATTCAATTGCAAATATATTAGCTACTGACTCTCCTGGCACCAACAAGGCATCTCCACCCTTGCATGTCTGAGTATGACTTAGCCACACATTCAACGCATTTCTGTGGGCACCAGCACACACTCAATGGGCAGCTGGGGGAGTTACTCATTTATGGTCAGTCCAAAATCTGAAAAGGCAAGATGAAACTCTTGCCTGATGCCTTGTGTGTGTCTCTCTCTCATACATATACACATGCTCACACACTTACATGAGTATCATGTAATGAAAATATATATGAATATTTTAAAAATATTACAGTAAAACATACACTGTCATTAATTCCCCTCAAAATATGCCCCTTAACTTCAAATACACTTGGTCTGGACACATTGTTCTTGGTCAAGAAAAAATAGCTGAAGCAGTTTGGGAAGAAATTTCTGAAGAAATTTCAGAAAAAATTTCTGAAGCAGTTTGGGAGGTCTTTCTTTTGTGAATGTCTTTACAAGGTGTGATCAAAAATATGGTTAATGCCACAGCTGTGTGCCATCCAAGAGAAAAGCAAGCTTGTAAAAATATTGTGATGCGTTCTCATCTACGTTATTCACCAGATCTAGGACTGTGTGAATTCTGGCTCTTCTCCAGAGTAAAAATGACCAGAAAAGGTAAAGTTTTTCAATCAAACCAGGATATCAAGGCAGCCATGGCAGCAAAACTTTAAATATTCACTATATATTTTTATCATCCCCCCTCATACACACTCACATACACATATGTAATATGCACATGTATGCACATGTATGTACATGTATTCCCCACAATAACCCTGTGAAAGAGGAGTTGTTTTCTTGCTTTTCTGGATAAGGAAATGAGGCACAAAGCAGTCTCACAGCTAGCAAATTATAATCTTCAAAACCAAGAAATCTTACTTTGGGAGTAGGGTATAGCTCAATGATAGAGTACTTGTCTAGCAAGCATGAGGCCCTGGGTTCTAATTCCTTCCACCATAAAAAATAAAAATAAAAAAAGAAACCTTACTCTAGAGCCTGTGCTCTTATTACCCAGGGGCATTCAAATGTCATGGGGCAGAGGAGGCGAACCTATGGCACAGGTGCTACAGGGAGCTATGGGTAACACTGAAATCTCTACAAGGTTTTCTACCACTGCTACAGGGTAAGGGAAGATAAAAAGATGCATGTTTTACAGGCACAAATACAAATCCTTCAAATTCAAAGCTTTTACCCGCAGGATGAAGCAGGATACTGTAATACAGAAAGTGGTGGAAGGCAAGTAGAACAATTTAGAATGCCTTTAAGCTGTCTTTTTTATAAATCACAGAAGAAAAAAGCATACATTTTAAAAAATTAAGATTACAGTAACAGGATGGATAGATGGATGGCAGAACAGATAGATGGACAATAAACATTCACTCCAGACTCAAGAGTGGAGCACACAGAGGACTGTAAAGGAGCACCCCTCTCTTTGACCTCCCAGGAAGGGCCTATTACCCTGGCTGACATTGCACTAGCTGCCCGCAAAGGCAACCTGGGACCCTCATCTGATCACTGGGACAGAGGCTGCAGGGTGATTTGTGCTGATGGCCTAGTTGTCAAGCCTTCATTTGCAGGGGTTCTGAAATCTGGAAAAAATAAGCATCTACTTACATGTACTCTCTATGGGCAGAGTGTACAGCAGCCGCATTGCTATAACGCCACAGGACAATCGCCGACGACAAGACGTCCAAGATGGCGTCAAACTAGGAGAAGGAGACATGGTATTAGTAGTTTTTCAGAGTTCATACAGCATGACTATAAAGGTGCAGGACAACTGTGCCATATTCCAGAATATCTGAATCAGTGACAAGATGTTTTGAACGTCTCAACACAAGTGCTTATAGGCCTGGGGTAGACCTTGAGGCACGGAGCTCAGAACACCAGAGTACTGGCCTGGTAGCAGTGCCACAGCTCCTTAGTTGTGTGGTCAACTCTGCTCCCAGCACTCTGGAGACACAGGGCAGGGGATACAGAGCACACTCTTCTGAAATACGGGATTGGTTTCCCTGTGACAGGCAAGATGATCTCAATGTTTTCTCGCACATCTGAAGGATGAGGGTTCTGTTTCTAGCCCTGAAAAGGACTGTTCCACCTGGATTCAGGGATAAAGGACAGGGTCACCGAGGGCTCCAGAAAGTCCACCAACACTTTGAAATTGTGTATAAAAGCCAAGGCTTTTGCTTGAAAGAGAGAGGGAAGAGAGGGAAACAGAAGTGCAAGCAAAAGGTAGGAGAAGGGGCGGGCAGGGCTTTCTAGGGAGGAGGGAGAAAAATGTGCGTTTCTGGGTGTGTGTAGGTGTGGTGTTTCTGTGTGTGTGTGTGTGTGTGTGTGTGTGTGTGTGTGTGTGTGGTCATGTGCATTTCTCTGGACGGTCCACATCTTTCATAAGATTCTGAAAAGACTCTGCAACACCTCTACAAACATTAAGTTGTTACCACAAAGGGCAGAAGTAGGTTTGGGAGAAGGCACACATGTACTCTCAGGTACAGGAAACCCTACCTCTTCACAGGAGGAATGTTGCAAGAAGCTCTCTCGATCAATCATCACACCATATCACATCCTCATCTAGAAAATCACAAGCACTGGCCCTATCTTAAAGGGGTGTGAGGTAATATCACCCAGTTCTGCAACATAACTAACCATAGCAAAGACAGCTTTCTCTGAACAACTTCCACCTGGAGGCAGGCTTGGAGCCCAGGTACCCCTAGCTGGGCTACAGACAACTCATCCCAATACCTGTCTACACCAGTAAATGCATCCCTCAGTACATAGCAGCCCAACTCATACCTGCAAAGGAAAAAAAGGTCTAAAACTCCTGAAACATCCTCTCAACTTCCACTTTTTGTGGAAAACATGGTTTTCCCATCTGTCCTTGAGAAACACACAGTCACACTGCAGTTTAATTCTATTAAATTGTAGTTTTTACAGAAGCTACTTCCATAAAAGGTATGGCCCCCATGCTAAGCTCTCACATGCCGACCACCCTCTTATTTGAGGGCTCCAGGAGAGATTCATGGGTTTGGGAAAAGCGTGCAAAACTTCAGGAAAGTATATTTACTTACTGCAAACCCAAAAGCAGAGGCGCTGTACCTCATAACGGAGACAGCTAAAAAGAAAGAAAATATTATTCAGAATATTTGAAAACCTCATGCATAATTTCTCATTTGTGCGTATATTGATACATTTGATATGGCCTTTTAAACACCACTGAAAAACTTCCAAGAGAATAAAATTAAAAATGTACTGCCCTTATAAAAATCTGAAATTAAAGAAAGTGGGGGGTAAAAAGATTTCTAAATTCCACCTGCAACAACTTCCCTTCCCGCTGTGCTCCCTTCAGAATCATCCAACTTCCCAATAAAACGGTTTATGTAGTCACCAATCAAATGACTTCAGAGGTCTGAGAATTTCAAAACTGGAAAAGAGCCCTGGGAACTATGTTAAACTTTCAAAGGAAGAGCGCAACTATCCAAACTCTTCTTATACAAGGTAACTAACGATAGAATCTAATGTCTCTACCACAGTTATTTGAAAAAAAAAAAAACAAAAATCTTTTGCCTACAGTTTGAATTATAAAATAGAAACCAACATAACGTTTTAGAAAAACAAATGATCTTAAACAGTAGGTGTCTATAATCATAAATGCCACAATATAATTAAAACATTTTATCCATATTCAAAAATTGGGAGGCAAGTCAATTAGGCGCCCGTTTTGCCTAATTCTGTTCTGTACCAAAGCAATGTCAAACTTCAAAAATTGTCCTCAGTTTGACTCAATAAAGGCAGATCTGCAAACAAAGCCAAATTGAACAAGCTATATCCACCCTCCAGCAAAGAAGAAAACCCGACCTCTGGGTCAGCAGAGCTTCGAGATGGCTTGCTCCAGAGCCTAGATGTTTCGAGTGTGGAAACAGGTGTGGGTGGGGGTTCGGGTTAGCACCTATGTGGACATCCATTCAGCTGACCACAGGGGCCCTTTTCTGGGAACTATTCCCCATCCTACCCACAATATCCAGGAATAGACCTAGAGAGTCATTTGTGCTGTGTGCACAAGGGGGTCACCTGCCCAAAGTGGACCAAATATAGTTCATCTCCTGGTTGGTCAATTTGTGTAGGTAGAACTGAAACTTGTGCCCCTGTTTACTACAAAGACCATGAAGCAGAAAGACAAGCAAGGGACAGAAATACAGAGTGTTGGATAGAGAGAACCACTGACTTCCTAACATTCTAAGTCGTCCCTGAAACTCAGCTACAGCCATTCCATTCCTTAGGCTGTGGGAGGTGGAACATTGTCTATCATTTTTTATCTTGACAAGAACTGCTCCTGGTTTTCCTTCTATTGTTCTTATTGACCTAGGGGAGGGTCAGAACCAGCTGAGCATAGTGCCCAGCTGTAGCTATCTCAGGCAACACCGGTGTATGGTATAAGAATACATAGCTTCCCCAACACCATTCATTCATAGCCCATGTTGGCTTGTGCAGAGGTAGTAGACCCCTGAGTGGACTGCCCTGAGCCCAGAAACTCCCTATTAAATGGCTTGGAGTAAGTCCTTAGTCATTATTTACTAAGCATAATAAAATTCCACAGAAGGGATATCTTTTTTTTTTCCTTTACAACCTGTTTTTACAATATTTTAGCTGTGTTTCTTGCAGGCTGTTTTTTTATCACTAGTGGAATCAACTTAACTCCCACTACCATCTTGAACATACACTCTATATTTATAACAGACAAAAGGAAAGCTGCAGGGCCGAGCATCTCCTCTTGTCTCTACCTGTGCTCTCCAGCTTGGGTATCACAGCACAGCTGGAAAAGCACTCCCCTCCACATGCAATCACCAAAGACAACCTGCTTTACAAGTAGTAAACCGTGGCTTTAAAATGTTTGGGTATGAATGATATGGTAATGCCAGACATATATAGTGAGCTACAGATTTCAAAAAATTGATTATAGTGGAAAGCACAGGGAACTTTGTATCTCACTGATCTAATCAAAGAGATGACCACTGAACAGCAGGATTTCTCTGACTCCATGGCAGTCCAATGCCCATGATTTCAAGCACTCTGGAATTATACCAGAAAGCCCTGCATGTGTGAGTGAGGTAAGCCTGCTCTGAGTGGAGAACCGAGAGCACAAGTGGAGTATCAGTGCTGCGCTGGCCTAAGTGCACCACGGGAAAGGTGAGCAATGGGGCTCCGGTTGACTTGGAGTCCTTCACAGAGATAAATCACTCGCTCATAAATTATCTCAATCTAATATCCTTGATGACATGGAAAGGAAAGTGCCAAAAATTGCATGAGGAATCATGAATACACAGAAGGGCCCTCCATACAGCTTACCTCTCGCAGCTTCCCTTTGTGGTCAGTTTCCTGGTTCTTGCTACTATATAAGAGCAAACAGTTATTAACACAAGAACCAAATGGAAGAGTTCAGAAGGCCTTTGAGGAATTTATAAGGAGTGGTGAATAATAACTTCATTTTCCTTGGTTCCTAACTCATCACAATATATTCTAACTCTAGGGTAAAAATGAACTCAACAGAAAGGGTGAGATTATTTTAAACCTTCCCTGTTCCTATGTAAAGACAGAAAACCATAGGGTTTTCACTGAGATATTCCCAACTTCCTTCATTCCAAGAATGAATCCCACTTGGAGAACAGGAGCCCTGGACCAGGATGACCACTCGAGGCAGGGATGACGTTATAGGGGCCCCTGGATCTCCATACGCACATGGCTGAGCGTAGCCAAAAGCCACCATAGGGTCTGATATTGCCTATAGAGGAGATAACAGACATAGGCCCAGGTATGCTGCCAACTGGCAATGTCCATAAGAGATAGGCAACCAGGCAGCCATGAAGCAGAGCTCATTTGTGAAGGTTGCTTTTGTCCAGGCAAGGCCCACAGAGCTGAAGGTCATGAAGTCACTGAAGTTATCAGGACACCAATACAGGGTCTGTTTATGTACCCCGTGACTGTGCTGGTATGCAACAGACTGGACTGTCCACAGCCTCCCATTTCATCTGGATAGCAGTGAGCAGAATCTCAGGGGAATCTTTAAGACTGTTCCCATTCTTCATATCCAAACCTATCACCATCGCTCATAAGTTAAAAGTGCACTTGTAGAGTTAGTGGCTACCACCAGCCTCCGAGGCACGCACGTGCTTGCAAGCTATGGGGAGCCTCACCCAACTCTCCAGGGGCTGGGCCTGGTTTCCCACCCTTCCTCCTCATGGCCAAAGTGCACATGCTTTTCCATCTGATTAGGCTGGACTTGCACTTCCAAAGCTGCAGGTTTAGAAGTTGCCATGGACACCTCTCTTTCTCCCTGCTTTTCTCCCCCACCCCCACTAAGACACAGAGTCCTTACAATGTTCATAAATAACATGAAGATGTATTGTTTGGGGCCTGCCTAGTAGCCACTCCTCATACTGGGGGGAACACCCTGATTCTCTGTGGGGGAACTGTACCTGCCTTAGCCTCAGACTAAGAGATGTGGGCAGGAGTAACATGACTCCCACCCTGCTATATCCCAGTAACTTGTGCCATGACCAAAGTTAATGATTCTAATATGACACAATCCAATCCAATTTGAGTCAAGCAGAACCCATCCCAAGTTTTTGCTAAAAATATTAGGTAGGAAATGCCTTCCTAAGAGGTGGTTTTAGAGCTATGGGACAAAAATAGGAATTGTAGGAAGTGATTTGGACATAAATGGATAGAGATGGCCTCAGAGTAAAGCACAGAGGAAATGGACACTGCAGCTAAGAGGTACACATCAAACCCTGATGACATCAACTCATTTTTTGGAGTTGGCCATGTCTGATATGTAACCTCTGTTCCTCAAATACATTGCTCAATAATTTTAAGTTGATTAAGCCCGTTTGAGCTGAATTTCTATGACTTGCAGCCAAATGAGTCTTAATATAATATACTTCAAACTGATAATCCCTCATCCAAGAATTTCTTTAATGCCTGTTATGGCTTGTGTCTAGATATTCCCCCGCCTCCAAACCTCATGGACTCATGGGGGGCAGGCTCCTCAGAGATGACTGAATCTAGAGTATATAATTGAGCCATGGTCCAATGCTGGGATTAAGGGTGATTATGAACTGAAACCCCTACAAATCGTAAGCTAAATAAATCTTTCCCCCTTTAACTTTGGGTGTCGGGTATTTTCCCTCAGCAACAAGAAAAGTTACTACTACAATGTCTAAAAATTGAAAAAGCACTTTACACACATGCACTTTACATGGTTCATGCAATTTATAATAGCAAAATATTGCATGCAATGTAACTATTCAGCAAGTGGGTCTATTGAAAGGACAACCTTCATATAACTATTTTTAAATGTATACAAAATGTTTACTTAATGTTTACATTAGCATATTAGGCAGAATAACAATATTGATAATAGATGATGTTCGGGGCTACAGGTATGGGGAGGTCAGAAGAGGATCTCAGGATGGTGACATTTAAACAAAGACTTGAAGGAAATGAGGTGTGAGTGACACACTCAGTTGTATAAAAGAAGAACCTCCCAGATAATGCGAAGTCAGTGCAAAGGCCTTGCATAGAATGCCTGGCACATTGATGTCACGTAGGCTAAAACCAAAGGGAGGAGGAAGACATTATGAGAGATAATTAGAGAAAGATACACAGTGATGTATATACTATGACTAGCTTTACAGTCAACTGTGTTTTAAAAGTGCATTGAAGCTGGGTGTGGTGGTGCACACCTATAATCCCAGCACTCAGGAGGCTGAGACAAGAGGATCACTGTGAATTCAAGGCCAGCCTGGGCTACATAGTCAGACCTGTTTCAAAAAAAAAAGAAACCAGGTACAGTGCCAGTACTCTGGGACCTTGAGGGAGGAAGATCACAAGTTTGAGCACAGCCTGGGCAACTTAGAGAAACCATGTCTCAAAAAAAATTTTTTAAAGATGGAGCTCAGTGCAAAGCTCTGAATTCAATCCCTGGTTGCGGGGGCGGTGCTAGAAAAAAAATTACCTTAAATGATCACAGTAATTAATCTTTGAGTACATTTCTTTTTTTATTTTCCACATTTCCTGAAACCATCATATAGCAACAATTTCAAATCAGACAGAGAT